AGCGTCCGCGCGGTAATTAGGAATTGAGGCGCTAGCTTTTTAATTGTGTACAGTACCCGGCACGCACTAGGCGGCAGGTACTGTACTACTGTATACTGGGACAGGTGTCCAAGGCGTCCCTCTGAGTGGTTAAGACCTGACACCGGTCCCCACCAGTAAACTGGGGTAAGCTCGCCCCCGTCCCTTTCGCGCCTACGTACGTCCGTTTTCGGTTGTCTGTCGCGCGCGCTGGCTTCTAACCCGTTACCGGTCGCTCCCGTTCACGCACCACGGGGCGACTGCGCGTAACCGGCCAGTGAGCCACTCCCTTTTCGCGAGCTCGTCCGATCGGTTCAATTAGCGCGTGGCGTCCGCGCCGCGTGCTCCCTCGCTAAAGCCTCTGCCTCTCACCCAACCCAGGGCGGAGAGGAGTTATCCCACACGCTGCTCGCAGCCCGGCGAGGGTCATTTCGAAGTAGAGGCTGCGAGTGTAGAAGCGGGAAAGCGGGAGCGCGAGGGTCATGGACCCGGCGACGCCGCGGAAATGGCGGAGCTTGCGGAGCGACACCAGTCGCCGGTTTAGTGCCCGCCCAGCAACAACTCCTTCGCCAGCCGCCGCAGCCTTAGGACCTTCTTCTCGGACGCGAACACGCGCATCTTCTAGGTGTCGATAACGCAGCCCAGATGCTCCAGAACCGGCGTCCCGTCCCAAAATCCCTTGTTCTCGTGCCGCACCAGCCCCAGCCGCCCGAAGAGCCCGGCCAACCTTCGCCGCGCCCTTGCAAAGTCCCTTCTTGTTGACGGGCGCCCCAGCGGAGAGGGCGCGCAAGCGAAGTCGTCGAGGTAGGGTAGCACGCGGTAGCCCAGGCGCTCGCGCAGGTGCTGCACCAGCGAGCGCAGAAGCTTAGTGAATCACAGTACAGATCGGCTCCACCCGAACGGCAGGGCAATGCAACGGTAGAAGAAACCGTCGTACCGGAAGAGGAAGAACTCGCGCATGCGCGGGTGGAGATAGAAGCGGCGGTACCCACTCTTAATGTCCCACGACAATAGTGTATCCCCACCTTGCAGCTGTGTGGCGAATGACTGCAGTGTCTCCATCTTGATTGACCCCTTCTCCCAGTGCCCGCTCTGGCGTTTGAAAATAATTACAAATTGCCCGCGCCTGTCGACGCCCTCCCCCTGCCACACAGTGAAAGCTGAGGACACCATTCGTCCACTGTGTGCCGCCTCTATCGCTTCTTCGTACCCCACGCGCTCGTACAGCCCCTCTTTGCACCCCCTCTCCAGATCATCCCTTCCAAACGTCCTGTCCTCCTCCGACGGGGGGAGCTCCCCTAGTACCAACCCTTTCTCAAAGGGCACCGAAAGCAGATCCAATATCCCGTATCGGATGTGCCTCGTCAGGCACTCACTGGCCCCCTCCTCCGAACGCCAAGCGTCCGCTCTGAGGGCCGTTCCGCTCCGCAATGGTGCTCCTCCCCTTCCCATTGCGGCGACAGCGGCTCCGTCTTTCTCCATCACTGATCACTGGGCCCCGCCTGCGGGGTCCAGTGTTTCTGTTGCCCGTAGCCCTCTCCAACCGCGCCTTGGCCAGCATCATCGCAGCCTCGACCTCCAGCTTGCTCTTCAACGCCTCCCTGGCGGAGCGGTAGGATTCAGAGAACACAGCGTCGTGTCCTTGCTCCACCAGGAAGTGTAGTATAACACCCCAGCGCTGAACCGACCACGAAGGCGGGAGCGGGCTCAGGGAGTATACTGTAGCTCGAAGTGCGATGTCACCGGGCGCACGTGCCAATAAGCGAATGGGAACGGGTCCCTGGTAGCGTGGTAGAGTCTTGAATGGGTTCGACACCCCAACGAGCAACGGCTGGCAGATAGACGGGTCTACGCGTGACTCGGCGCCCTTGCGGTCAGGGCGACGACGCGGAGTCCGGATCCTGGCACAGAGCCGCGCTATCGTAGCGCCTCAGCCTTGGGTGGGTGGTCGGAACGTAGAACGGAAAACGAAAGGGAAAATGGCCAAAAGACCTCCGAAAAAGAAATGAAAACGTAGACGACTAGGGGTCGGACTTGACCAGACTAGCCCCCCCCGTGTGCTGTTGATGGTCCTCTCTTCATTCCCCTAGCGGCCTCCTTTATTAAATACGTAATACTGTACTTCTTACACCGTAAAGCGTAACGGCGCTAATACAGAAGAGACTTCGTAACGACTATTTGCGCCGTTGCGCTACAGTACTGTACTCGAGGTACTGTAAGGATCGGTGGCCTTACACACAACATTAGACGGATCCGAAAAATGACAGTCGTCGTCATAACGTTTGCCACGTGGTTGATGTTTCCACGCGGACAGTATTTTTGTGTAGATAAGACACGCGTCCTTATGCTACAGGAAGGACATCTGCCGTGCAGCCTCAACTCCCTGCTCAGTGATCTTCCCTAAAGTACTGCGCCCTCATAGACAACACCTCGAGCGCAGCGTTCATCGCCTTCTCCGCTAGAGCTAACTTCCGCGCTAGGCTTGGCACATCCTCCGTCTGGTCCCTGGCCACCGCCAAAGCCTCCACACCCAGCTCAGTCCAAACTCCAGCAGCGTTGATGTATTCCCATTCTTTAGCAGACCGCCGGTCCCTCGACATCAACTCAGAGAGGAAGGCGGCCCCGGGGGGTTTGAAATACCCCATGTGCGTGACGGGCACATGGGGCCCCCGCTCGAAAACGCTTCCTTCTCCTACCATCTTGAGAGAGCTTAGCTCTGATACCACATCCCCGTAGTCCCGACGCGATGGTACAGCGCTTTACCAGGCAGCCCTCACGGCGAGCGCGGGCTGCACGACCACGAGGGGCGGCGGGACTTCGGACGGGGTCAGTTGCTTGTTCAGTCATCTCTCTGAGTGCTCTGGCCGCACTCTGTAGAATGTGTCACCGCCTCGCTTGCTGAGGGGAATTTCTCGCAAAGAGAAATTGACATGGGGAGGAGAGGTAGCGGGATAGGACAGCTCGCTTCTACTACTTATGGGTCGGCGGCGAGGCTGGTACGGCGAGACGCCCGGCTGTCAGTAAGTACTTACAGACGCGTGCTATTTCTCGTGGAGTTTCACCCCTATACACGCAGTGTACATTGACGCGTACAAATGACTTACATATTCGCCTTCAGACCGGGCGACGTCTGCGATGTGGCACTCCCACAATTGCGCGCCTTTTCCAAAATACGAAACCGACCCAGGAAATGACCATGTCATTTCCGAAATGACATCGCCATTTGAAATATAGAGCAGTTGCCGCCATAGCGGCCATAGTAAGCACACCGATCACCAAACAAGCCCCACATACCCATTGTCACCGCCTCCCAAGCCCCCATTGCCGCTGTCACAAAGATGGCAGGCCTCAGCAGTGAAGACGCTGCAGCGGCGCTCGCGGCATTGTTGTCCGTTGCTATCGAGCGCCGCAATGAGCTCGAACAGTACAGCGAAGGCCTCCCTGCTGATTCTGATGAAGACACTGGCAGCGATTCCCCGGTGTTCGATGCATTCTACGATCAAGACGGTGCTCGCGCCATCCTCGAGATGACCAACTTTGAGCCGCAAGAATTTATGGCCGTATGGATAGGGTTTGAGGAATTCATAAAGTACAGATTAATTGTTGGACGGGGCCGCAAGAGTGCACAAAATCCCAAAGACGTGCTCTTCATGACGCTGGCCTTCTTTCAGCACGGGGGAAACTGGGACTTCCTTGCCTGAATGTTTGGAATTTCTGCCTCGTCGTTCGAGAGGCTCATTATGAAGTTTGTGCATTAGATTTATGAGGCGGTCTATAACAATTATGTAGACTATCGAGCACGAAAGTGGACCACGGACCTCCTGAAATCGAAACGCCGTTGTTTTTCCAATTATCCTATGGCACAGTTTGCCACTGAAGTGACGTTTTAACCAAGTTTTAGGCCCTTTGGGAGCATTTAGGAGGGGGCAAGAAGTATTTTTCCCGGAAAGCACAAATTATATGGCTACAAAGTCGAGGTGTCGGTGCTGCCATGTGGTTTGGCGCTGGGGGCTAGTTTCCATGAACCGGGGTCTGTCTCGGATCTGGTGCTATTCCAGCAGATGCAATCGTTCCATCGCAAACAGCTGAAGAAGACCGCCGCAGAATTGGACATGTTCTATGAAGGTCCACTGAGCGAGCACTATCCTAACCACTGGGCTTTGCTGACAGACAAGGGGTACCAGGAAGGAAAACAGTTTTGTCGCGTTATTCACCCCACGCCCAAACAACCTCGAGGTCTGCTGACACCTGCCGAGGTCGCGGAAACCACCACATTTATAGCGACCGAGTAATTGTTAAGAACTTTTTTGGTCGCCTTTGTGAGCTTCGGAACGTGTAGTCCAGCAAATGGAAGTATGATGAGAAAAACTACGATGCAGTCTTTCGACTGTGCCTCGGCTTCACCAACTTTTACATTAACCGCAAGCCACTGCGGGCTGCAGATGCAATCCTGTACCAGCAATTAGCTAATCGCTAGTACAAGATATGAACCTCACAGATCGAACGTCGAAGACGTATACAGAAGAACTACAGAGAATAACGCCAGCCCGCTGCCCGTAAAGGCTTTAGGGCCGGTGTTGTTGCGAACTATCTCGGGCGGCAGCCGACCGAAGACTGGTGATTTGCGTAGTTTCGGTTTGTTTGCGCAGTGATCTGGTCTTCCCGCTAATCATTGCCTTTCTTGCGTACGTTTAATTACATGTGCATTTCTTTCTAAAATTTTGTATGACTTTTGCAATGCGCAAAAACCGCTCCGTCGTCAACTTACAGTCACTATCAAAAATATTGGACCAGTTGGGGGCCAAGGTTCCACCAAAGGACACCCCGACTTCCGCACACCAATGTAAAGCTTGTTTAAAAACCATTGCAAATATGCACTCAGAATTTTGGACCGAATAAATAAAACACTCACAGAAGCAAAACATAATTTTTTGGCTGTAAAAACTATAGGACCACTACAGTATATTGTTTGCCACACCTCCCTAGTACTTTGTTTTCGAACCCTGTTTTACCATGACAGCAGCACAACGCCTTGGCATTGACGCTACCAAGTTATGCAGCACTTCGTCCTCAATTTTCTCCCAGCATTCCATGATGCAACTAGTAAGATCTTTGGTAGACAAAAATTGGCGTGCGGACGGGTATACGGTCCTTTCCAGAATGGCCCATAGGTTCTCTATGGGGTTCAGGTCCGAAGGTCGGGCTGGCCAGTCGAGATCGTCCACTCCATGGTCCTTGAACCACGTTCTGGTCTCATGTGCTCTATGTATGGAAGCATTGTCTTGCTGATATATCCAGTTTTTCGCCATGTGTAAGTGCCGCGAAGGGAAGTAAATGGTCTTTCATAGTCTCGCAATACTTTTTAGCGTTCTGTCGTCCGCATGTCACAACCAGCTCAGATTTTCCGTAGTGCGAAAACGCAGCCCAAACCATGACTGATCCACTCTCGCTTTGGCGTTCAGAAAAATCGGCTCACTGACCCTGAGGTCATGCCAGTAGTAGGCAAACCCATCAGGGCCATCCAGATTAAATTTCTTCTCATCGGAAAAGACCACAGTACGCCACTTTTCCAGGGAGAATTGCACATGTGTCTCTGCCCAAGACACCCTTTTTGCGATGTTCGTTTGTAATCCACGGGGCGGTCGTCATCTTTTTAAAAGCCATAAAACCAGTCCCTCTAATTATCCGTTGCACTGTAGAGGTGCTTACCGATAGCTCCAAGGCCTTCCGAATTTTTGGTGCGGTGGTTAGTTTCTTCGAGGCCTCACGAATGACTCTCTTACGGACGGCGCCGGCCACTTTGGGAGGTCTGCCAGGCCTCTGGATAGTCCCATACTCTGCTGGATTCTTTAAGAATCTTGTGACGACCGTTTTGGAACGCTTCAACTTCTCGGCAATCTGCCGATGAGACCACTTTGCAGAGTTCAAAGTATTGATCTCTATTCTTTCGGTTGGGGTAAGCTGGGTGCCGCGAGGCATTTTTTTAAGGATATGCAATCGACATTGGTGTTCTGTGGAGTGTGCTGGATCAGGTTATGCATCTGGGACAGGTGTTTCGCTTTCGCGCCACAATTAAAAAACAATATACTGTAGTGGTCCTATAGTTTTTACAGCCAAAAAATTATGTTTTGTTTCTGTGAGTGTTTTATTTATTCGGTCCAAAATTCTGAGCGCATATTTGCAATGGTTTTTAAACAAGCTTTCCATTGGTGTGCGGAAGTCCGGGTGTCCTTTGGTGGAACCTTGGCCCCCAACTGGTCCTATATTTTTGATGGTGACTGTACCAGGGTCTTTACAATAGAACTGAGGTATTGTAGTGAAGACCTACTGTATAATAAAATCCCGATACGTGTGAACTTCACACGTATCGGGATTTTATTATTAGCAGTCCGCAGTGATGTACAGTACCGAATACAGTGAAGCCTTACATAGGGACCTCCTCGAGTACGAGTTCGTGCGCTGCTGAAGAGAATACAGGCGACTCCCTCAATTAGTGCACCCCCGTGCCATGCGCATTCTATGTGCACTATCTTCAATGTGCATTATCTAAGGGGCTCGCTAAAAAGTAGTTTACGGGGCAACGAAATGTTCCGTTACCAGCGTTTGCCGTCGCTGACGCTTCGTGTGTTCATTATAGACACGGCTCAACGCTCGCTTAGCAAGATGTTGCATATCGTTCTTGGGGAGCAGTTGAAATCACGCTGCAAATCGACGTGCCGAGCACCCTTGTGAAAGTCGCCGCAGCACCTCCTCTTTTTGCGAAAGGGTAAGGCGTGTTCTTGACGCCCTGGATGCTGGTTCAGTTGTGCTCATTGTGTGATTAGTTGTTCGAAGATGCATAAGGTTGCTGGGATCTGTAAAAGAATGGAACCCACTCTCTACGGACGGCGACGACCATTGTGCTCGCGTGAACATACGTGTACACCTGTACAAAGTCGTGCCAAGCTATCAGAGGGTGCATTAAAGTCCAATGTGCACTAACTAAAAGTGCACTAATTAAGAGACCCCCCCTGTACTGTAATACTGTAGGATGTAAAATAAAAAAGGCTGGTAACATGTTACATCACTGCTCGGACACCGCCCTGCCTTTAAATAAAGTTAATCCACCTCGAAAAGTGAAGTCATAATGCATTGCTGGATCGCGAGAACTGAACCGTGTTGGTTTTGGAGTTAAAATTCTAAACTAAAATTAGACGCCAAACCTTGAGCACTTCTAGTCCACTCTTTGCTAATTCAACTCACGGTATAAAGGCTTTCCAAACCACTTCCTTCTTCAAGCTAAACCTTCCTCGCCATACCCATCAACCATGCCCGACCCCGTCGTTGTCCAAGAGCCGCACCGCAACCGATTCACCTTCACAGTACCAGGCCACCCCGAGCCGGCCGTCCTGGAATACGAGATTATCGACGATGACGGGCATCCGCTCTACAACCTCACCCACACCTACGTCCCGCCTCAAATCCGAGGTAAAGGAATCGCCGCAAAACTCGTCAAGTTCGCCTGTGCTCATGCTCGTGCAGCCGGTGCGAAAGTCCTCCCCACCTGCTCCTATATTCCTATCTACCTGAACAAGAATATGTCAGAATATGACGTTGTCAAGGAGCGCTAAGTCGCCCAATTCTCTCGTCCCGTACACTAGTTTCAGTTGCGTTTTGACGTAGCGTCTAGTCCATCTTATCCTCATTTTCTGTTGTACAGTAAATGGGTTTGTGTCCCACTGTTCTTGTCTAGCTTTCAAGAGGGAACTGCCTGCGCACTCTGCGTTTTAACGCGACCTCATGTAGAGCTTACTCATATTTACATAGGAGAGGCTCTATTCGGCTCTGACAAAACGAACACTCAAACTCTACTCTCCACCATCTCCATATTCATTTGCGCTGCAGGCCCCGCACCCTTGACAAGCTTTTCATTCCTTATACTTCATGCACTACAGAAGCATATTCATAACACAGCAAAAAATTCCTACCACAAAAGCAATTTTCCTTGAGAGAGAAGCTGCCTTGACGCTTTATTCGCACCCAATGCGACTCTATACATCATCCTCGTGCCCATGTCTACGCGAGGAAAAAGAGTGGAGCACAGAAAATAATCGACCAGGATAGACGGTAAAGGCGAGATGGTTTTTGCCATAGACACCAGGAAGGAGAGCTGACGAACGAGAACGAGAAAAAGATAAAGTTATGACAACCGGGCTTCAGTTATCTCCGATGGACCGGGGCTGGTGCAGAAGCTCCCTCCCCCCCAAATGCCGTGTTAGAAAAATTGTTTGCTCCCTCTGCCAGCTGTGTTCCGCAACTTAAAGACTCAACATTCAGACGACGAAAAGTTTAAACTGCCTTGATCAACTGCCCACTATCATAGCTATACGGCCTCCTGAAAGTTTAAAGCATGGAGGACACTTCTGTGTGGTTCATAAACGAAGCATGGCTTGCTTCTGATGTTGAGGTTCGACTGTTTTTTAGCACAATTCTGTACTGCAGATACAGTTTAAGGGTTGCAGGTTGAAAGTATACCATTTCGATTTTTTGGAGACTGGTCGCCGACCAGACAGCGACACGAGCCATAGGATATCACTGCGAAAAGCTTTTTCCTGTATTTAAAAATATAGAGATAGTTGACACATCCGGGGTTGCCGGCATACAACAGCAAAAAGAGTAACACAAAATATTATCAAACCACGAAATTAAAACCAGGCCAAGGATGGCCTCAGGCCATTTTAGTACCAGACATTTGTGTTTGGAGCAATAAAGAGATATGAACATATCTCTCCATGCAACCAGAGGTCAATGACCCTCGACTTTCTTGAGTTCGTTTATTATTTCTTTTCTAGAAAAATGCTCCTCCTTGATTGTAGACTCCGACAAAAATTGTGAGCCGGTTTGTCTCCGGATACGACACTATGAAAAGGGGGCGACTTTACGGTTACACCTTATAGGCGAAGGAATCATAGTCTGTCAGGGTGTAACAGTGTTAAAATCGTAGAAGAACGTCGCATTTAACGAAAGAAACTGAAGCATAGTAACCGAACAGTTCAGTCCTATACCTACAAGATAACTTTCCTGTTGTGGCTTGAGGGCCAGTCCTAACAGGCGCTTTTCTTTTCTTTTGTTTTCCTTCAACCAGTTGCGGTCACGCTATTGGCCGGATCATTTCATTAAATTAATCGCACGCCACAACGAATGCTACACAGAACCACTGTAATGCTTGGTAATTCTGCGAACTGGTCGAAATCTATTGGCTAAAGGAAGTACCAATCCACACCCAGTCCATATGCACACTACTAAAATTCCATGGACTCGATGCGGTGCAGTGGCACTTGCAGTACAATGAAAGGGTGGAATTACCCTTCTGAAGGGTAAATCCAAATACGAGCACATGCAGATCAAAACATTAGTTCTCTCAACATTACAAACCAGACACAGTACCTTCTCCCGCCATTTTATGTGCACAACTCGGCCCTCCCCCGCCTCGACGCCCACGTGAAATTTGCGACAGTCGCTTGCTAGCATTTTACACTCTGTTTAGGAAACGGAGCACCACCGGACGGCAGAAGGGTACCCAGAGTTCAGCACCCAGAGTTCAGCTTTTTGAAATCAAATGCCTCCTTGGCATCGATCATGAAATGGAGAGAAGCCGGGGAGGCTGCTCTCTAGTTCATGATCGATGATGAAGTGGCTTCGCCGAAATCCCTTTCCTGTGAACCACCCCGCCCTCGCTCCCTCCCCCC